CCCACTCCTACCATTTTGTCCTTTTGAGAGTGTTATGGAAATGAAATCATACAATATGTAACCTTTGAGACTAGCTTTTGTTCTCGGCAGGATGCTTTTAAGATCCACCCAAGTTGTTGCACGTATTAATAGTTTGTTTCTTTTTAATGCTGAGGGGTATCCCATGGTATGGATACACTGCTGTTCATTCACATATTGAGGGATATTTGGATTGGTTCCAGTTTGGGGTTATCATGAATAAAGCTTCTATGAACAGTGGTGTATATAGGGTTTTGTGGGGAACATTTTTCTATTTCTCTGAGACAAATGCCCAGGAGTGCAATTGCTGGGAAGTATGGTAAATTGGTAAATGTAAGTTTAGACTTTTTTTTTTAACTGCCATCATTTTCTTTTTGATACTTAAATTATTCCATCTTTTCCCAGTGGAAGAACTTTCAAGTTGCCTCTTTGACATGTTCAGCTTCTTTTCTTTCTTTCTTTCTTTTTTGACTCAAGAAAACATCCCAGGCTCCTCTTATAAATCTCCAGCCCCAAACTTTAAATTGTGCGTTGTTACCTTTGACTGTGTGCCTCTCATTGTCCTTAACAAAGTATTCATTAATGGGAAGTGATAGATAAACAGCAGACCTACAATCTAATTTCTCCTAGTACTAGTCAAATCTGCTTGTAAATATACCCAGGACCAATTTCCGGCAACCAAACCTCACATTATTTGCTAGTAGGGGAATACTTTTCTATAACTACACATACATGATGGTTCAGGATTGTTTACAATACACAAATCTGAAATCTATGGGAAATGTTACTAAACCAAGTACCTGCGCTCCAATTCCAAATAGCTCCTTTGCATCGTTTAGTGACCTCATGGAATCCTCATATATTCCCAGCAGGACTGTAACATGGCACACACACACACACACACACACACACACACACACACAAATCAGTTTGGAAAATGGTTTGAAAGTGTTTCTGTCTGCTTGGGCTGTCATAACAAAATGTCATAAACTGAGTGACCTAGAAAAGAAACATTTGTTCCTCCTCTGGAGACTGGAAGTTCCCAGATCAAGGAGTCGGGTTTCTCATGAAGGCTCTCCTCCTGTTTGCAAATATCTGCCTTCTGGCTGTGTCTGTACATGGGCTTTCCCCGGTACCTAGAGGAGGGCAGGGGTATGCACACTCTGTCTCTTCCTTTTCTTATAAGGCCATTAAACCCATCATGACCTAATCTAACCCTAATTACCTTCAAAAAGCCCCACCTCCAGATACCATCCCATTAGGGGTTAGAACTTCAACGTATGAATTTGCTGGGTACAAATATTCAGACAAGAACAGAAAATTCTGTATAAAATTAAACATATGCCTATTCTAGGACCCTATGATTTCATTCCTAAGTACTTACTCAAAGGAAAGAAAACATATATTCACAAAAAGACTTATAGAAGAGGGCTTATAGCAACTTTAGTCCTAATAGATAACACCTGAAAACAATACTAATAACTATCCATGGGAGAGTGGATAATCCAATTTCAGTGTATGTATGGTATTCATCTAATATACCACAGGCTGATGGCTTAAACAACAGAAGTTTATTTTCTCATAGTTCTAGAGCCTGGCAAGTACAAGATCAGGTCCCAGCTGGTCTGCGAGGATTGTGGGCTCTCGAGCCTGACACCTGACAACTCAAAGGCCTGAGAACAGAGGAGCCAATATAGTGGGTCCCAGCCCGAGTCCAAAGGCTCCAGAAGCAAGCGCGTCAGTGTCCAAGGGCAGCCGCACAAGGATGTCCCGACCAGGCGGAGGGCGAATCAGTCCTCCCTCTGGTTTTCTGTCCTGCTCAGGTCCTCAGCGGATGATGCCCATTGCACCAGTGAGCGTGATGCTCTTTATTCAACCTGATTCAAGTGCTAATCTCTCCCAGTAATCCAGATACACCCAGAAATCACATTTTACCAACAAGCTGGGCATCTCTATCTCCAGCTGAGCTGACACATGAAATTAACCATCACCACAGGCCAAAGACAATTTGTAACACAGCACTCAAAACCTGGAACGTAGGACATAAAATTAATTCTTATGAATCAATACAAGAAAACACAAACAACCCAATAAAAATGGACAAGAGGTATTAACAGGCATTTCACAAAATGAGAGTATCCAACTGACCGACACATATATGAGAAGGCAATGAGCCACATTAGTTATTAAAATAAAAATGAGTTACCAGGGACTTCTCTGGTGGTCCAGGGATAAGGGTCCACCCAACGCAGGGAGCACAAGTTCAACTTCTGGTGGAAGAAGGAAGATCCCACATGCTGTGTGGCACAGCCAAAAAGCAAAAATCAAACATTAAAAAAAATGAATTATCATTACTCATCTATAGATTGCAGGGGGCGGGCATAGAACCTGACAATAATATGCCAATGAGAATATGGAGTAGCAGAAACCACCACACACTAACGGTAGTGATAAACTGTCAGGAAATCAGTGTGATGTTATATAATAAAGTAAAACACACTCGTGGCCTAGACCCGCAACTCCACCGCAAGGTACGTTCTCTAGAGACCTCTTGTGTGTGTGCACCTTCCTCCCAAGAACTGAGTCTAAGAAGAGGACTTAACATAGGTACTCGCTTTGGGATGTGGTCCTACAGAACCAAATTGAGGGGACTGACCAGAATTATGGGAATATGGAGGAAGGAAAGCCATTCCATCACTGAGTTGGTTACCACTGTGAGTAACCGGGGCTCAGTCCTGTTGGAGACCCTCCAAGAAACTGTGTAGCATGACCTTCAGAGTCATCCACCTGCAACTTGGAAGTGGGGAGCGTTCCTCCTCTGGTTCCTAAACCCATTGGCCAAAGGTTGTCCCAGTGGGGATTAATGTTCCGCAACTGTGTGTTTTCACGTTGCTCAGCCGAACCCCACTGATGTTCCGTGTGGCAGGTGGCACAGAGGCCCTGAGGCAGAAAGCAAGGAACATGCAGACCGCTGAGGGGACCTGAGGCTGCCTGTACCCCATGCATCAGTCACCACAGCAACACCCGGAGAGAACAAAGGAGCTGAGAGACGTGAGAAAGGGCATAAAAGACGCCGACACACCGGCATACAAGACTGTTCACAAAACTTTATAACCGGAAACAAGTCAAATTCCCACCCATCAGCTGTTGTTATTCAGTCGCTCAATCGTGCCTGACTCTTTGTGACCCCACAGACTGCAGCACACCAGGCTTCCCTGTGCTTTCCTGTCCCCTGGAGTTTGCTCAGACATATGTCTATTGAGTCAGTGATGCCACCCGTCAATCAGAGAATGTTTTTAAATAGTGGTCGTCTCATACAATCCTCTGCCACACCATCCTGGCCACATTCTCTCCGGGTGCAGACATTTATTCTCCCTCCCTCTCTCTCTCTGACTGCGCCAGGGTCTCAGTTGACCCACGAGGGATAATCAAGAGTTTGCATGCTCGGTCCAGCATATGAACTTACAGTTGAGGCATGTGTGATCCAGTTCCTCAACCAGGGACCAAACTAGGGCCCCCTGCATGGGAGCTGGAAGTCCCAACCACCAGACCACCAGGAAAGTCCCTCACCTTTATTTTAGTGTATAAGTGCAGGGGTTAGTAGTCCGCCGCCTGTTGCTCTGGCTAAGCCTTGAGAAAATCGCCATGGGAAAAGAATAAAAGCAAAATATAGCAACACAGCATAAGCCAAATAAAAATACATCAGGTTGATCAATTGGGGTTGTCATCCCCTGCTAAGCTAAAGAAAAACAGTGTGGACCTTGGAACACCGGGTCAGCACAAGTTCAGAACACTGCTTGTGCACACACTAAGATGTTTTCCCAAGGCATATGCAGGAGGTTTATGACCTCCAGCTAGGTGATAGCCCTTGTACAAGAAAATAGCTTAAAGTAATCAATAAAATGGGAGATGTGACCGGGGACACAGAAGGTTGACTTCATCGTAGCACAACAGATATTTCCTGCTTGCCAAGACACTAAATAAAAGTGATGTGGGCCCGAGGAACAGGGCTCTGGACCCAAGAGGTCTTGAGTCCCCGGTCCCATCTTTAAAACTTTAATTCGGTCTCTAGTTTCTTTTTCCCAAACTGTGCAGCGACCACTTGCGATCCCTACCTGCCGTGCGGAACACAACATGTGAGTAGTGAGCATTTTGATTGTGAATTTTTTTTAATTGTGATTTTAGATGCCCTGCCCTGTGCTCAGTCGTGTCTCATTGCTTTCGACCCCCTGGACTGTAGCCCGCCAGGCTCCTGTGTCCGTGAAATTCTCCAGGCAAGAACACTGGAGTGGGTTGCCATGCCCTCCTCCAGGGGATCTTCCTGACCCAGGGATGGAACTTGCAGTCTCCTGCAGGTGGGTTCTTTACTACTTGGAGTTTTAGATGAACTGGTGGCAACGCTCTCCCGTCACAGCCAAACGTAAGACGACCACCGTCCTTACAGAGCAAGTGGACAGGGCTTTGGCCTCGGAAGACTTGGTAAGACGGATCTCACCATCCCCCTTCGCTCCGCTTGTTCCTCGACCAAACCACAACCACCCTTGCCTCTTGTCTATTTCACAGCACACAGCGCTCGCTTCACGCCACGCATTGGCCTAAACGTCTCCGAACATTAACAGCTTTCACCCTCCCATCCCTCACCCCCGCGATGTAAATACTGTTTTCTGTGTTTCCTAATAAAGGAACAGGCCAGAGAGAGGTTATGTGACTCGGCAGGGCCGCACAGTTGGTGAGTGGAGGAGCGCGCTGGACCTCAACGGCCCCGCATCTGGCTGCAGAACGCTGAGCCATCCACTCAGAGAAGAAGCGCAGCCTCGGCCGGGCGCGCAGGGAGGACTGCGCACCGGGGCTGCAGTGCGTGCGGAGCCCCACCTCCCAGCGCAGCGCGCGGCGGCGAGGACCGCCCGGGGCCCCACCCGGGCACCTGCGGCGGGGGCGGCGCGTCGCTCTCGGGGTCCCCCGGGCCCCGCGCGCTCCGCAAGATGTCGCGGCGCCGCGGCCGGCGGCCCGGGCCCCGCCTGTCCTGGCTGCTGTGGTGTGGCGCCCTGCTGTCCCCGGCCGCGGGCTACGTGATCGTGAGCTCCGTGTCCTGGGCCGTCACCAACGAGGTGGACGAGGAGCTCGACGGAGCCTCCACGGAGGAGGCGCTGCCCGCGCTGCTGGGGGACTCGGGCAGCCTCTGGCAGCGGAGCTTTCCGGCCTCGGCGCACAAGGAGGACGCACACCTGCCTCCCCCGGAGGGCGCCGCCTCAGATCACCACGCCTGACCAGAGACCTGGACAAAAGAAGCCAGAGCTGCCTTTGGCATCACTAAGTAGCACATCCAGCCCCTCCCCGCGTCCAGCCCCATTCCCGCGCACCTACCGGAATTGCCCTGTCACCTGCTGACACCAGGACGGCGGCTTTGGTGGAAATTTACATTTAAAACAATGGCATTCGAGAATTGTTCTGGAAAGGAGGCTTACTGTGCTGAAGCTCTGAGTGTTGGAGTGACAGCGCTGTTACCAGTTGCAGCTGTCATCCTTCATTTCACAGGTTATTTTATTCACCTGTTAGACATGATTCCACCTGAAGCTGAAATAACATGGTTACTTGATGAGGATGTAGCATTCCTACATGAACACCCCCCATAAAGCTTTTAGGGCTGTTGAGATAGATGCAAGGAGTCCAGTGGTGGTCCAGTGGTTGGGACTTGGCCTTCCAGTGCAAGGGGTGTGCTTCCATCCCTGATGGGCAGCTAAGATCCCACATGCCTTGAGTTCCAAAAGACAGAAAACAGAAGCAATATTGTAACAAATTCATTAAATAAAAACAGTCCACTTAAAAAAAAAACTTTAAAAAAGAGATAGACATATGGCAAAAATGATCACAATATTGTAAAGTAATTATCCTCCATTAAAATAAATTAATAAATTTTACAAAAGAGTTGTGAGGGTTTTATTACAGGGCAATACTTTGAACCCCTATTTATTTAATGCAAAAAAAATTTTATTTTATTATGGTGTTTGTAGGTCATGGGGTGGGGGGCGGCGGAAGTTTCTGGGCCCAGATCCAGGTCTCACCAGCTCCGAAACTGTGGCTAAGTCACTGGGTCCTTCACTTCGCTTTCCTCATCGATGAAATTGTATTGGACTAGGTAGTTCTGGGGAGAAGGCAATGGCACCCGACTCCAGTGTTCTTGCCTGGAGAATCCCAGGGACGGGGGAGCCTGGTGGGCTGCCATCTTTGAGGTCTCACAGAGTTGAACACAACTGAATCGACTTAGCCGCAGCAGGTAGTTCTGAAGGCCCTTTTATGCCTTAGGAAAAAAAAGAATCTAAATGACAACTTTATTCTGATGATGGTGATGATCTTAACGTCTCTCACAGCCTTCAAATAGTTTTCCACAGCAATATCTTATGCTCCTAAGACACACCTTCAGAGGATATCAAGCTAATTTTGGTTTAAAATATAGATCACTTCCAGCAATTAAAAGTCTAAGGCCAAAGTATTCAAAGATATTATGACTTTCAACATCCCTTTTCTTAGCCTTGTTAGTAGTTCCCTTTTCCACTATCGACATTTACACCAAATCCAATAAATTCAGAGAACATGTACTGCGTGCCTGGCGTGTGTGCCCAGCATGATTCCAGCCAGTTTGTGAATCAGTTCAGTTCAGGCGCTTAGTCGTATCCAACTATTTGCGACCCCATCGCAAAGTTTGTGAATGACCAGCTGAAAAACAGGATCTGGTAATGACATGTTACCATTTTGTAGAATTTCTTCAAAAGTTAAAGCCACCCCTTATCACAATTCTACATACTGTTGTTGAGTGATACTTCAAAGACAGCCCCGAGTGCTGAGCTAAGTAACAATGAGAAACACACTCTATAAAGGGTAAAGGTCATGATGCTGGACCCAGCAGGGCTTGGGAAAAACCTGAGAAATATTTGTGTCTATGTCTGAGAATTTCACCTGCTGTACTGAATGATCGTGAACAGAAATTGCTTTTGCCTGCTTCTGTGTCTTCCTTGAAGCTAATAGGATAAGAAACAAATTCTCTTAAGTTACTGAATTATATGACTGAAATATTATTTACTACAATAAAATTTTGACTGAGAAGTGAGGAAGTGGTATAACCCTAAAGGAAACTATAACAGAAAGTTCCTGGATTCCAAAGACCAGGTAAGAGGTGAGGTTTAAATTCTATCCCCAGAGTTGCCAAAAATTTGGGGCAGGTGGTGAAGACAGTGGGATTCCCGGGGCAGCTTGTGAGAAAGGTCTTTAGTGACCCTCCACCCCTCCATGAATTTCGTTGCCTTTCCCCCAAATAACTTTCAATTTAATAGAGTGGTTTTTTAAATTAATTAGTTTTTTATTTTGTCCCTGAATTTTTTGGTTTGTTTTGGGCCATACCACATGGCATGTGAGATCTTAGTTCCCGGATCAGGGATTGAACCTGGGCCCCCATGTGGAAGAGCAGAATCCTAATCACTAGACCATGAGGGAAGTCCCAATACAGTGTGTTTGCTGTTTTTCTGAAGCTTCAAGAGTAATTCCCTCACCATCCTCCATCCACGGGTGCCACTGCTAAGCTCCTCTATAGAAATCATGAAGCCATCAATGGGTAAAGTGGGTAGACCGGGAACCACTCTTCCTGGGTTCATGACCTGTCAAAACCGTGGTGACGTCATGCTGCCTTTGCATCCCAGGGCTCTGTTTTCTGGTCAGAGACACAGGCTTAGCTCCCAGCTCAAGTCAGTCCACAGCCCTGTATTGAAAAGGTCTTTTTTTCCCTTGATGTCTGTTAGATCCCAGGCCTGCCATTTGGGACCTGCCTGCCCATCAGTGATGGCCCCTTCAACAACAGTACTGGGATTCCTTTCTTCTATGTGACACCCAAGGACCTCCTGGTGGCCGATCTGATGAAGAACCCCATGGCCTCGCTCCTGCTGCCAGAATCTGAGGGAGAGTTCTGCAGGTAGGCAAAGGCCTGGCCTCCCTCACCCAGCTCCTCTGCACAACGCAGGGAGCTTGTGGCGTTCATGGGGCCCGGAGATGCAAAGCTGTGTCCTCGCCGCTCGGCCAGCGCTGTTTCTGGTCCTGGCTCTGGCTCTCACCAGACTCCAAGACTGTGGCCAAGGCACTGGGGTCTCCATGCTGCTTTCATCATCTATGGAATTAAGTGATGAGCTAGGGAGTTTTGAAGGTTCTTTTTTGTTTTGAAAAAAATTATCAAAGCAACAACTTTATTCTGAGGATAGCAATGATCGTAACCACTTAGGCAGCTTCCTGATGGTTTTTCATATTTCTGTTTTATGTCCCTAAGACACACCTTTGGAAGATATGAAACTGAAATGTGAAGCTGATCTTGGTTTAAAATACAGATCATTTCAAGCAATTAAAAGTCTAGTGCTGGGGGGATTTCCCTGGTGGTCCACAGGCTAAGACTCTGAGCTCCCAATGCAGGGGACCTGGGTTCGATCCCTGGTCAGGGAAATGTATCCCGCATGCCACAGCTAAGACCCAGCACAGTCAAATAAATAAACAAATAAATAAAATATTCTAAAATATATTGTTTTAAAGTCTAATGCCAGGGACTTCCCTGGTGGTCCAGTGGTTAAGAGTCTGTGCTTCTAACACAGGAGTTACAGTTTGATCCCCAGTTGGGGAACTAAGATCCCACCATGCCAAGGGGCATGGCCATAAAGAAAAAAACCTATAAAAGTCTAGTGCCAGTGTGTTCCAGATACATCAGCAACATATGTTGTAAGAATGTATTATAAGCCATGGAATCAGATCAATAGAATTCTACCATTCATGAGGTGTGTGATTTGGGGCACAAAGTTAGTGAACTTTGGGAGCCTCCATTTCCTCATCTGTGAAATGGAAATAGCAATTTCTACCTCCTATGGGGAGGGTTGGAAAGATTTGAGTGTCTTGCATAACACTGGTGAGTAAATGACGGCTCTTGTTGTGGTGGCAAAGGTGGAGGTGGGGAGGAGAGGGTAGTGAAGGAAGAGCCAGTGGTTTGTCCCCCAGGAACATGCTGCATAGTCTATTTATTGTTTTTCTACCTGTCCCCATGAGGTATTCGCAATGAAGACCCAGAGTCCCTAAAATCACTTTCTCAAAAACTTTCTAGGGACTTCCCTAGTGGTCAAGTGGCTAAGACTCTACACTCCTAATCCAAGGGGCCCGGGTTTGATCCCTGGTCAGGGAACTAGATCCCACATGATGAAACTAAAAAACCTAGCACAGCAGAATAAATAAATTAATATTTTAAAATAAATAAATGTTACTTCTTTAAAAAAAAACCTCTCTGAAAGAAAAGCCAGTTAGGCAAAAATGGAACACTGTAACACCTTTGTCTGAAATAAAAATGTGGTGCTGCTAGGGAGATGTCTGCACCCAGCTAGCTTCTGGAGGGGGGGTGCATAGGAGGGACACCCCCACAGGAGTAGCAGAGGTGGAGGGAGACCTCGGAAGAGTGCCTTCACCCCCAGAGTCTCAGTTGTCTTCACCTGTAATGTAGTGATGCTTTAGGAACTCAGGTAAAATTCCTCCCAGCTCCAAAATGCTGTACTTCTTTATGCAAAGCATGAAAAACATATTAAGTGAACAGATGTCATTTCTTAAGGGACATGCTCGGTCGCTTCACTCGTGTCTGACTCTTTGTGACCCCATGGACTGTAGCCCACCAGGCTCCTCTGTCCATGGGATTCTCCTGCAAGAATACTGGAGTGGGTTGCCATGTCCATCTCCAGGGGATATTCCTGACCCAGGGATGGATCCCAAGTCGCCTTCATTGCAGGAGGATTCCTTATTGCTGAGCCACCAGGGAAGCGCTTCTTTGGGGGAGGGAGGTGGTAATAATCAGAGCAACACTGCACCATAAAATGCAGCCTGGATAAGGCCCTGTCGCTTACACCCCACCCCACCNAGGGAAGCCTGGCACGCTGTGGTCCATGGGGTCGCAAAGAGTCGGACACGACGGAATGACTGAATGTTGTTGACAACAACATTGAGTATGATCACTGCTGACTTTAGATCTCCAGGACTTAGTCATCTTCTGACTGCAAACTTGTGCTCTTTGAGCAACATCTCCCCAGTTCCCAAGCCCCTAGATTCTCATAACCACCACTGAATCTGTTTCAGTGTGTTTGGCTTTTGTAGCTTCCACATATAAGGATATCATGCAGCATTTGTCTTTATCTGACTTAGTGTAATGCCCTCAAGGTCCATCCATGTCGCTGCAAATGGCATTATTTCACTGTTTTTATGACTGCATAATAGTCCATTGTACATATGTACTACATCTTTATCTATTCATCTGTCAATAGACACAGATTGCTTCCATGTCCAGCTGTTGTAAATAGTGCCGCTGTGAACTTCAGCATACATGTATCTTTTTGAATTAGAGTTTTTGTCTTTTCCAAATATATGCCCAGGAGTGGGGTTGCTAGATCATGTTGTAACTCTATTTTTATTTTTAGTTTAAGGAACCTGCATACTGTTTTCTGTAGTGGTTGCACCAATTACATTCCCACCACCAGTGTAGGAGGGTTCCCTTTTCTCCATGCTCTCTCCAGCATTTATTATTTGTAGATTTTTTGATGGTGGCCATTCTGACCAGTGTGAGGTGATACCTCACCGAGGTTTTGACTTGTATTTCTCTAATAATCAGTGATATTGAGCATCTTTTCATGTACCTGTTAGCCATCTGTATGTCTCCTTTGACAAAATGTCTATTTCGCCCATTTTTTGACTGGGTTGTTTGTCTTTTTGACGTTGAGTTTTTTGAGTTGTTTGTATGTTTTGGAGATTAACCGCTTGTCAGCTGCATCATTTACAAATATTTTCTCCCAGCCCACAGGTTGTCTTTTTATTTTGTTGATGGTTTCCTTTGCTGTGCAAAAGACTTTTAAGTTCGATTAGGTCCCAGTTTGTTTATTTTTATTTTCATTTCATTTGTCTTGGGAGACTGAGCTAAGAAAAATTGCTGCAATTTTTATCCGAGAATGCCTTGGCTATGTTCTCTTCTAGGAATTTTATGACTTCATGTCTTCTATTTAGGTCTTTAAAACACTCTGAATTTGTTTTTATGTATAGTGTGAGGGAGTGTTCTAACTTCACTGATTTATGTGAGACTGTCTTTTCTCCACTGTATATTTTTGCCTCCTTTGTCAAAGACTAGTTGACCATAGGTGTATGGGTTTATTTCCAGGCTTTATTCTGTTCCATTCATCTATTAATATATGTATGTTTAAAATATATATATATATATATATATATATATATGTATGTTTTTGCTGGTACAGTTCTCTTGACTCCCATCTCAGGCCATATTTAATTGAATGCTATTACCCTGCACTGTATTCTCTTGGGCTTCCTAGGTGGCTCAATGGATAAAGAATCCATCTTCAATGCAGGAGAAGCAGGAGATACATGTTTGATCCCTGGGCCAGGAAGATCCCCTGGAGGAAGGCAGGGCAGCCCACTCCAGTATTCTTGCCTGGAGAATCCCACGGACAGAGGAGCCTGGCGGGCTGTGGTCACAGGGTCACAAAGTAACTCAGTGAGCGACTGAGCACACGTCCTCTAATCTGACCTTCTGCCTCCGTCTCGAAGGGCCCTTCTGTTTACATTGGGCCCATCCAGATAATCCAGGATAAATGTCCCATCTCATGGTCATTAACTTAATCGTATCTGTGAAGTCCCTACTGCCGTATACAGTATACAGTATACTGTATACAGTCATACATTCTGGGGGATAGGATGTGGACATCTTTTCAGGGAGGCTTTATTCAACCCACTGGATGTACCAGTTTCACGGCATTTGCGAGTGTGGAGAGAAACACGGTAATTCATTCTGATGTATGCTGAGGCTCTCATTGGTATTTTGAGGGAGTCATGATTGTTCGTATTTATAATATACCTGTTTTTTAAATATAGATATTAAAATGACTCACATGTGATATGAAATCAATGAATATAAATTTTAACATATTCTTAGCATGGCAAAATGATACAGAAAGGTGAGAACTGCAGACAAATGGGTTGTAAATTGGATAGTCCTGTGAAGTCGTGCTTTGCCCGTTAGAGTGAACTGTTGTTAGCATCCCTGCTGCTCTCCTGCCTGGGAGTGGACCTAGTCCCCCCTTTTGCATGTCTTGTCCCTCTGCACGTGTCCCTCTGGAGTCTATTGAATCACAAGACTTGATGCTGGATCAGAGAAAATCCTAGCCCAAGACACACACAGAAATGTAGCAGCCTGTCCTACAAAGACACATGGCCAAGGCTTCCAAATGACAAAGATTTCATCCCAAGAAACGCAGAGCAGCCATGGATAAGAATATCTAACAGGAGTGGAAATGGCATCAACAGCATGAAAGTGGACCAACTTGTTCAGAGGCTCAGAAAATAGAGGCTGGAAGGGCCTGCAGACGAGCCCAAATAACTTTCATAGTTTTTCCAAAACAGACTGTTTTAAAAAAAACAATTAGTGTTGGACTTCCCTGGTGGTCCAGTGGTTGAGATTCTGTGCTCCCAAGGCAGGGGACATGGGTTCGATTCCTGGTCAGGGAACTAAGATCCCATATACCACATGACAAAAAGTAAAAATAAATAAATATAAATACACAAATTGGGCCAAGATATGACAAAAAAGACTATCTGAAAAGAAAAAGTGACCCTTCCTGAGATGAATCTGCTCCACTCCACTCCACCTCAACCTCAAAGATGCACAGAGATGCACAAATGCAAAATCGGCAGCAGTCACTGTTAAAAATCTTTAATAGTGATGTTTTCTTGCTCCCTTAGGAGCCAAGGAATGAAGTTAAGCTAGAGTCAGGGGTCAAGGTATAGCAGATGGTGTCTCAGACTAGGGAGCCTGTGTATATGCTGAGCAGGAAACAAGAGGAATACAGAAGACCTCTGGAGGTTCAAGGAGGCAGAGCAGGCGGTTCCTTTGTGCCAGTACTGCCAACACCCCCAGGTAGGGGAGTGGGCCCCTGAAAACCCTGGACTAGTCCAGACAGAACAAGGCCATTCAAGGCTTCCAAACAGCACCAGCAACATCTCTTCCATTATTTTGCTCTATAATCCTTGTAGGATGTAATATTTTGTCTAAAGAACAGATGACAGCCTTCAGGGGAAAATTCATTCTCTTGCCTTTTCCAGCTTCCAGAGGCTCTCTTGTCTCCTGAGTTCAGCACCCCCTCCCATATTCAAAGCCAGCTATGGCCAGGAGAGTCTTTTTCCCATCACATCACTCCAACCTTCTCTTTTGCCTCCCTCTTCCACTTTTAAGGATCTTTGTGATCACATTGATCCCAGGTTGATAATCCAGGTCAGCTGATTAACTCGCCTTGGCCATGAAAGGTGACATGTTAGAGAGTTTGGGGTGGACATGTACACGCTGCCATGTTTAAAATGGATCACCGACAAGGACCTACTCTATAGCACAAGGAACTCTGCTCAATGTTATGTGGCAGCCTGGATGGGAGGGGAGTTTGGGGGAGAACGGATACATGTATTTGTATGGCTGAGTTGCTCTGCTGTGCATCTGAAACTATCATAACATTGTTAATTGGTTATACGCCAATATAAAACTAAAAGTTAAAAAAAAAAGACGGTAACATAGTCACACATTTCAAAGATTAGTATGTGGATTTTTTGAGGGGCTATTATCCTGCCTATCATAGGTGGGAAGGAAGTTATATGATGTTTAGAGGGGTTACCTATTGTGTAAATGAAAAGCTTTCCATTTACCTATTTAAACACATTATCTTCTTTTTTGGAGAAGGAAATGGCAACCCACTCCAGTACTCCTGCCTGGAGAATTCCATGGATGGAGGAGCCTGGTAGGCTACAGTCCGTGGGGTCACAAAGAGTCGGACACGACTGAGCGACTTCACTTTCTTTTTTTCTATAGTTCCTTTTGGAGAAGGAAATGGCAACCCACTCCAGTGTTCTTGCCTGGAGAATCCCATGGACAGAGGGGCCTGGTAGGGCTGCAGTCTATGGGGTTGCAAAGAGTCAGACACGACTAAGCAACACACACACACACCTCTTCTTTCCAGCTGGTGTAATCACCACCAGTGGAGATGCAAACTGCTCCCTTCTTAAATGCAATGTGTTCTCCTATCATGACTTACTTATGAATCCTCATTTCATTGCTTTCATGATGGAGCAAGGTTATGGGGAAAAAATGGCTTTAATAGCAAACAAATTCAATACAACTGATGACAGTCTTGTCGGGTATATGTAAATTCATCCCCATTTACTATTTTTACTTTCTCCTATCCATCTCAGGTTTTCATACAAACTTCAATGTCAATTCAGTGTTTACAGCTATTATGTAGATTGCCTCCCATCCTTCTTTCATCTTGGAAAAATTCACAATTCAGCAACAACATTTTTGCAGTGTCAAAACCACTGCGAATGGTAACACTTTCAAATGGTACACAATGTTCTCACAGGAAGCAATTTACCTGAACCTGTGGGCGTGTCCACTCTTTCTCTTGTTATGACTCAACAGGGTGTGTAATAAAGAAAAACTTGTAGGCAGGTGAAAACAAGTTCCCTGAGTATAAGCAAAATATATGTTTTGCTTAACAAATATACTGTTCTCAAGTTAATGTTATAATGGACAGGAATGAGTTCTAACGAGTCGAGCCTCAAAGCCGCCGTTTTGTGATATACACCATTTTTGAAAAGAGCATCCTCAGAGTCTCCTTGGTCAGCTGTACCCAGGTCCCAAGACCACCCTCAGGCTCCGTGGAATAACTCACAGGACTCAAGAGCTCGTGGTTTATTCCAGTGAGAGGATACAGATCAAGGCCATCAAGGGCAAAAAGTGCATGAAATGAAGTCCAGAAAAAACCAGGCCTGAGCTTCCAAGGGCCCCTTCCCACTAAAATTACATGGGGATATACTTAATCCTCCCACATATGATGTGTGACAATAAGTGCAAGATATTGCCAACCTGGGAAGCTCACCTGAGCCTTGGTATCCAGGGTTTTTATTGGAATCCAGTCACTTGGCAGTTTCAACATCTGCATGATTTTTCTTAGCTACTCAGACTCAGGGCCCAGGAGGTCAAGCTGACCCAGCATGGCCCAGGGCCTCAGGCACAAAAACATGCCTATGAAGTAGGACATCTCAAGGGCTCAGAGGTATCTTCGAGGAACGAGTCAGGGGTTGGTCCTCCTGAAGACAGGCCTTTCAGAACCCAGGTCTGCTAGCTTACCCCTTCACTGCCCACCAGGAGATAATGGTATGTGACCGCTATTTTTTTGGTCTTTTCCTAGCTTTATTGGGGTATAATTGACAAAATTATAAGATATTTAAAAGTACACACCCTGATGATTTGATATACATACACATTGTGCAAAAATTCCCACCACCTTACAGCCAGTAAGGAGAGGAGTAGAGAGATTCCTTAAAAAAATAAAACTAGAGCTACCGTATGACCCTGCAGTCACATTCCTGGGCATATATCTGGAGAAAAATGATCTGAAAAGATACCTACACCTCAGTGTTCATTATAGCACTGCTAACAATAGCCAGGACATGGAAGCAAACTAAATGGCCCTCAGCTGAGGGATGGATAAAGAAGATGTGAAAGAAAATGTGGTGTGTATATATATATATACAATGGCATATTATTCAGTCATTAAAAAGAATGACTTTTTGCAGCAACGTGGATGGACCTAGGGAGTGTCATCGAGTGAAGTAAGTCAGAGAAGGAGTAATATCGTATGATATCCCTTATATGTGGTATCTAAGAAAAAATGATACAAATGAACTTACAAAACAAAAAGAGACTCACAGAGAATGAACTTGTGGTTGTGTGGGGGGGGTGGGAGAAAGGAAGGGGAAAAGGGATAGTTAGGGAGTCTGGGATGGGTATGTACACGCGGCTATATTTAAAATGGATCAGCAACAAGGATGGACTGTGTCCCACAAGGATACACAATGTTCTGTGCTCAATGTTACCTGGAAGCCTGGCCAGGAGGGGAGTCTGGGGGAGAAGGGATACATGTATCTGTGCAGCTGAGTGCCTTTGCTGTCCCCTGAAACTGTCACAACTTTGTTAATTGGCTGTATGCCAGTGCAAAATAAAAAGCTAAAAAAAATCCCACCACGTAGTTAATTAACATATCTGTCACCTCATGTTTATCTTTTTGTGAGAATATTTAAGTTCTCTTCTCAGAAAATTTCAACTATACAATATAGCATTGTTAACAAGAGTTGCCATGTTATAAATTAGATTCTCAGACTTTTTTCATCTTATAGCTGCAAGTTCATACCCTTTTATCAAACCCCCTATCTGGCTCCTAGCCCCTGGAAACCACTTTTCTTCATTACATAATTGTAATATTCAAAATATAGAAGTATATAAAATAAAAAGAACTTTTCCCCAACACCTCAAGCCCCTCAAATCTCTTTCTGACTTGACTAAGTGTGATCATTTCTAGGTCTGTCTATCCATGTTGCTGCAAATGGCATTATTTCACTCTTTTTTATGGCTGATGTACAATGTACCATTGTACATAGGTACCACATCTGTCAGAAAGATAAAGACAAATATCACATACTGTCACTTATATATGGACTCTAAACTATGACACGATGAACTTATCTACGAAACAGAAATAGACTCACAGACATAGAGAACAGCCTTGCGGTTGCCAAGGAGGAGGGCATTGGGGGAGGGACGGACTGGAGTTTGGGGCTGGTAGATGTGAACTATTACATTTAGAATGGATAGACAACAAGGTCCTACTGTATAGCACAGGGAACTATATTCACTATCCTATGATAAACCGTAATGTAAAAGAATATTTTTTAAATAATAAAATATATTAAATATTTTACTATTTTATATATTATAACTAAAGCACTTGGCTGTAAGCAGGAATTAACACAACATTCCTGTAATTTTGTTGGAACACAGTACCTCAACTGTGTTCCAATAAAATTAAAAAGTTAAAATATTTTCACACAGGCAGCGTGACAGGTGTGTTTGTGGACACTAGATGTCAGTCTGCATCCTCGGGGCAGGAGACGACTTGGGAAGTGCTAGTCAAGAGCACACGGGCCAGGCCAGGGCTCTGCACGGCCCTCACTGGGAGCCCCTGTTCAGAGTCAGCTCGCTGCTCTGTACAGCTCCAGGGGCACCTCTCATCTGACCACATCTTTACCCATCCGTCTGTCAACGGACATGAGGCTGTTTCCTTGTCTTGGCTGTCGTGAATGGTGCTGCAGTGAACAGTGGGGTGTGTGTATCTTTTTGGAATATGCTTTTCTCTGGATATATGCCCAGGAGTGGTATTTCTGGATCATATGTGTCAAAGTGTTTTCAAGTAATTCCAGAAAAATGTAAAAACCTAAATGATATAACTAGCAATTGTAACTATTATTTTCTCTTTTTAGTAAAATCCTCCATATGTCCAACTGATGTTCTATCATCCTTTTAATATCTGGAAAATGTCCTTCAAATGCAGGAAAAACATCGTGGACCCAGAAGACCCTCGCTGTGCCCGGCTAGCGCTCACTGGTCAGATGGTCGCCGTGTCCCCAGAAGAAGTAGAATTCGCCAAGCAAGCCATGTTTTCAAGGTTGGTATGTGGTTTAAGGGGCTTCCCCTGTGGCTTAGCCTTAAAGAATCTGCCTGCAATGCTGGAGACGTGGGTTTGATCTCTGGTCCAGGAAGTAAGATCCCACATGCTGTGGGGCAACCAAACCCAAGCAGCTCAACTACTGAGCCTGCACATCATAACCAAGACCTGGTGCAGCCAAATAAATAAGCAGCATGCTGAAATGCAGAGATATCCTGCCAACCATGCCAAAAAAATAAAACGCAGAGACATTGCCTTGCTGAAAAAGGTCCACCTAGTCAAATCTATGGTTTTTCCAGCAGTCAGGTATGAATGTGAGAGCTGGACCATAATTCTTTGGCTGAGTGCTGAAGAGTTGATGCTTTCAAATTGTGGTGTTGGAAAGGACTCTTGAGAGTCCCTTGGACAGCAAGGAGATCAAATCAGTCAATCCTAAGAGAGATCAACCCTGAATGTTCATTGGAAGGACGGATGCTAAAGCTGAAGCTCTGACTTTGGCCACCTCATACAAAGAGCTGACTAACTGAAAAAGACCCTGATGCTGGGAAAGATTGAAGGCAGGAGGAGAAGGGGACAACAGAGGATGAGATGGTTAGACAGCATCACCGACTCAACAGACATGAGTCTGAGCAAACTCTGGGAGATAGTGAATGACAGGGGAGCCTGCCATGCTGCAGTCCATGGGGTCACAAAGAACTGAACATGACTTAGCAACTGAACAGCAACATATATTTATATTTATTTTGGCTGCACTGGAGCTTCTTGCTAGTCATAGTTCATGGGCTTAGTTGCTCTGAGGCATGTGGGATCTTAGTTCCCAGACCAGGGATCGAACCTGAAACCCCTGTATTGGAAGGCGATTCTTAACCACTGGACAGCCAGGGAAGTCCCAATAAATATTTAGAAAATAAATAAATACTCAATTTTTAAACAACAAGATAAAAAGAGAGAGGGCTCAAAATTCTTTTAACATTTCATACAGAGTTATTTTAAGCCTTTCTTGATGCTTCCTGATAACAATGACCCACATCCACTGAATGCTTCCTCCATGCAGGTTCCTTGTGAGCCTCACTGTCTGTTCCCCATGCAGCCCTGTGATCACAGCAGCGTCCCTCTCACCCCACATGACCAGTGAGGAGAGGGCAAATAGCCTGTGAGGCATCCCGGTTTATCAGCAGCCAAACTGGGGTTCAAACCACATTGCCTCGCTCCAGACTTGAGCTGTCCACCACCCTCTGGGGACGACAGCGTCCTGCCCTCCTTTCGGGGTCCCAGGCCCCAGCCCTGGCTCCCTGGCTTTGGCCTCTGGCTGGTTTGAGCAGGTTTCACAGAGGGGGCTTCCCTCGTAGCCCAGTGGGTAAAGAGCAATGCAGGAGACACAGGCTCGATCCTTGGGTCAGGAAGATCCCCTGGAGAAGGGAGTGGCAACCCACTCCAGTATTCTTGCCTGGAGAAGCCCACGGACAGAGGAGCCTGGCAGGGGCTACAGTCCATGGGGTCGCACAGAGTCAGACACGACTGAAGTGACTGAGCCCAAGAGACCTGGCGTCTGCCCTGTGGCCCGGCCAAGGCTAGGTCCGGCCCTCTGCTCCAGAGGGCGCGCCCTCCAATGAAAACTTCTCTATGGTGACTTCTTTATTTCCGTAGACACCCAGTGATGAGAAAGTGGCCTCGGCCATATGAGTGGTTCTTCATGAAGATGAAGATAGAACACATCTGGCTTCAGAAATGGTATGGAGGAGTAGCCGATATCTCCAGGGAGGAGTACTTCAGAGCCGTTCCAAGAAAGGCCTGATGGAGGGAGAAGAAAGTCCTCGATGCTTGCGTAAAATGGAAACCTCTTACACAGCGCCGCCGGACAGCGGTTGACTGCTGTCTCTTTGTGGAAGGGTTCACAGCAGGCCTGTCACCCTGACAGCGAGCAGGACGAGAGCAGGTCACCGGGGACCCCTGTGCTGGCAGGAGAGTGAAGTGGCCGTTTGCAAATCCCCAGATCACACAGGGACTCCTCCTAGAGAGTCTGTTCACATGCTTTCAAACCAGACTCACCTGTGTGGAGCATTGTTGGTTGTTATAGTGACATGTTGAGACAGCTGCTGTTCCATTCAAACAAAAATTCTGCCTGTATGTACAACGTGATTGTTTTGTATTATAAGATATGTTTGTTGCTCGTTGTGCCCAAAGCCGTGTCTTGCTTCTAAGCTCATTGCAACCACAGAAGAACTAAACACGCATCATACAGCTGTCATCTTGGGCTCAGGGTGAGGGTGCAGGAATCTTTGTCTATGGGTTACCATCCTCCTGGGCTTCCCTGGTGGCTCAGTGGTAAAGAATCCCACCTGCAATGCAGAAGACCCAGGTTCGATCCCTGGGTCAAGAAGATCCCCTGGAGAAGGAAATGGCAACCCACTCCAGTAGTGTTGCCTGGAGAATTCCATAGACAGAGGAGCCTGATGGGCTACAGTCCATGGAATCGTAAAGAGTTGGACATGACTGAGCGACTAACACTTTCACTTTTTCACTACCATCCCTCTGTTGAATGGCGGATGCATGCTTGAGTCTCACTTGCTAAAATGTACTGGAGACTCATGAAGCTTTCTTCCCCCCTGCAACGTGACAAACCACGTGAGAACATCTGAGTTTGGTGCACAGCCCTGTTCTAGGTCATGGTCAGGTCATGACAGTGCCTTAAGGGAGAGGCAGCTTCGGCATCAGGCTCCCCAGACCCCCTCTCCTGGTGCTGTGACAAAGCGTCCCCTTCTCTTAGACACAGGGAGTGGTGCCCAGTCTGTGGTGTAGAGAGAAGAGGGGGAGAGGAGAGGCTGGAAAGGAAGAAAAGGCCACATATAAGAAAAGGGAGGAAAGAAGTCAGTAGCTGAACGCATGCTTCCTGCCCATCCGTGGGCCAGGCCCTCGACAGGATCATCTCACTGGAATCTGACAACCAAGGAGATGCATCATCGTTGCCACTTTCAGACAAGAACACTGAAGCTCAGAGAGCTGAAGTCAGCATCCCAGGGTCTGACTCCAGCATGCACAGCACACACAGTGGACAGAGTGGGGCCCAAACAATGTCCAGTTCTAAGAACAAGACAAAGAGTTCCTGAAATACACAGGCAGTCACTGAATCAGCAAAATCTTTAAAGCGATGACTAACCTAACTGTGGATGATCGGCTACTATTTTCTACCAAAAAAAGAGAAAAAGTCTCTGAAATTTGATTATTACTTTAGATTTTAAATTTTCTACAAATAATACACAGGAGTGCCCAACTCATACCTTTGTGTATACCTAAGGCCTTCAACGACCTATGAGTACACATTTGAGACCACTTACATTTGAAATTTATAAGGGATCTAGCAAGACCCAGTTTTCTGCCTTTTTATAATGACTCTAAACCCTCTTTGGTGGGTTAGGTATGTTGTATAAACATTAAAAACACAACACGAAAAATATAGGAAATATTCACTTAAAAAATAAATAATAGTGTTATTAATTGTTACACTTTTGTTTAAAAAATTAAGACATGAAGAGAGTTTGAGTTGTCAAAATATTTTTAAGTGCCTATTCTTAAAAGCATAGTCAAATGCACAGAATTCTTTATTTATCAAAAGTCAAGTCACAAAAGCATTCTTTAACAATAGCAATGTCTAATATAGAAGAATAAAGTAAATTTGAGGGTAAAAATAGAGCTACCATATGACCCAGCAATCCCACTCCTGGGCAAGAGGAGAGAAAACCATAATTCAAAAAGACACACACACCCTAATGTTCATAGCAGCACTGTTTACAATGGTCAGGACAAGGAAGCAGCCTAAATGTCCATCAACAGAGAAATGGATAAGAAGATGTGATACATGTATACAATGGAATATTACTCAGCCATAAAAAGGAACAGAACTGTGCAATTTGAAGAGACGTGGATGGACCAAGAGACTTACACAGAATGAAGTAGGTGGGAAAGAGGAAAACAAATAATGTATAATGTTAGTTACATGTGGAATCTAGAAAAAATGATACAGATCAACTTAACTGCAGGGCAGAAATAGAGATACAGAGGAGAACAGATGTATGGATGGGGGGAGGGGATGAACTGGGAGGTTGGGATTGACACCTATACATTACTATGTATAAAACAGATGGCTAATGAGGACCGGCTGTGTAGCACAAGGAACATTACTCAATGCTCTGCGGTGACCTGATTGGGAAAGAAATCCAAAGAAGAGGGAATACATGTAAACATAACTGATTCACTTTGCTGCAAAGCAGAAAATAATACAACATTGCAAAGCAACTATACTTCAATATAAATCAATTTAAAAAACAGATCCTAACCCTAAACATGAAATGTAAAGCCATAAAACTTTTTTTAAAGCTAGAAAATCTTTGAGACCTAGGGCTAATCTAAGCTAAGCCTTCTTAGACTTGACACCAAAGGCCTAAAGTCCATAAAAGGGAAGTTTGATAAATTGGACTTCATCAAAATTTTACTTTCATTCTACAAAAGATCATCATGTTAAGAAAATGAAAAGACAGGCTACCTACTGGGAGGAAAAACCTGCCAATGGCATTTTCAACAAAAGACTACCATCTGGAATAGATGGAGAATGCTTAAAACTCAACAGTTTTTTAAAAATCCAGTTAGACAATGGAGAACATGAACAGACTTTCTCTGAAGATAATATGGCAGATGAGCACATGAAAAGATATTCAATATCATCAGTCATTACGGAATTGCAAATTAAAACTCTAATAATGGGGCACCTACCAAAATTGCTAAATTATAGTAACAACATCAAATGTTAGCAAAGATGCAGAGCAATGGGATTAGTCTATAGCTGATGGGAAAATCAAATGGAACAGCCATTCTGGAGAACCAACTGACAGTTTTTCACAAAGCTAAACAAGTGACTGTCATACTACTCAGCATTGCTCTCCTGGGCATTTATCCCAGAGAGGTGCAAACTTATGTTCACACAGAAACTTGTACATGAATGCTCAAAGCAGTTTTATTCATAATATTCCAAATCTGTAAACAACCAGATGTCCTATAATGGGTGACTGGTGAAACAAGTTGTGATACAGTCAAGCCATGGAATACTATGCAGCAATAACTGCTAATTTCTGACACAAGCAGCCACTTGCATGAGTCTTCAGAAAATTATGCTGAGTGAAAAAGCTCATCCACAAAGTTTACATACCATGTAACTCCATTTATAGAACATTTTGAAATGTGAAAGTCTAGAAATTGAGAATAGACCAGGGTCACCAGGGAGGAGGGTGGAGAAGGAGATGAGTATGACCATGAAAAAGGCACTTACTGTGATGGAAATGTTCTCTAGCTTGTTTGTATCAATGTCAAAGTCCTGGTTGTGATACTGTATCATTTTGCAAGACTGGGGGCAAAATAGATAAAAGGCACCCAGAATCTCCCTATTCAATCTTTCAACTCCCTGTGAATCTACAATTGTCAGCAATTCTCTCAGAGTAAAAAGTTTAATAAACAAAATTTAAGGCTTAGCTTAAATAAGACATTTATGTCCTCTCACTGGTTCCTAATGAAGTGAAGAACTGATCTATGTGCCAAAGCCTAGCAGAACAGATGACAGTTCGTTTTCTTTAGCCATTAATATATGCACTTTTTGGAAGAGGGAGAATATTTCTTTCAAAGTTTTTAAGAGGTATTCAACTTAATACTGAATAAAAATTAGTATGAATTCAACAAATCTCCTGTATAGATTTTATGTGGGACACAGAAGAGGAGGAAATCTTCCAGTTTCTGGCAGAAACACATTAAGGTACAGGCATATATAGGTCTCCAAGTCCGTGCACAGTGACTCTCCACTGATGTTCATAGCAAACAGCTGTATTTCCAGTCATCCTCCACTAAGAATTCTTTTTTTGTTTCTATGAATAAGCTATATCCTACCCCACACATTTTTATTTTCCATGATTGTACACATCTATGATGTTGACATAAACAGTGTAATTCTGATGTGACTTATTTCAATATGCCTTTTATATGTCAGCATATACATATATATTTGTATATGTATACATATACATACATGACATATACAGTCTTGTATGTTGACTCATTCTAAGAGGTTTGGGTTGAAATGTATTTCTACAATTGTTCCAGAAAGTCTCTATTTCATTTTTAATAATTTAACCATCAATACTGTTCTGAAAAAAAAAATTCTCTAGAATGATTTCTTCATGCTTATTTGATTGCTTATACCAAGTCAATTGCTAAAAAAAAATTGGAATTATAATGAAGCTATGGTTTGCACTATGTAATGCATGTGGAGTGTAAAATATATTTTTGAAACTGGATATGTCTATCTAATTAAACATTATTTCATTCCAGATATCATTTCCATGCTCAATTAAACAAATGTATAATATCTCTACACAGTCCTTTCATGGAATATTAACAATTGATGTTATTAGATTAATAAGAAAATAGATGCTATTATAATAAATCAGCAGTTACATTTCCAACAGAAAGAAAAGAACTAGCTGGGTGACTGTTGTTGATATTACTTTTTTTTTTAATTTAACTGCAGCACACGTCGTTGTCACGTGTGGGATTGGCGTGTGGGATCTACTTCTCTGACCAGGGATCAAATTCAGGCCCCCTGCATTAAGAGCACTGAGTCTTAACCACTGGGCCACCAGGGAAGTCCCTTGATATGATTTTTTTTAAAGCTCTGAGTACAATGCAGTTAATTCGCAGACTGGAAAATGCTGATATAACCACATTTCAGTATTCCCACTCTTAGAAATCTTTGCCATTTTTAGCATTGTTGTTATTCCTAGAATTCAGGGCTTCTAAAAAAAGCTCCCTTTTGCTGATGAGAATACACACCCACACACACTTGAGCCTAGGTCAAAAGATGACACATGCCTGCAAGCATGACCGATCCTGCAGCTTTCACAGACCACCCTCTGACACCCTGGCGTCTGAGAGACGCTCTTGTCTTAGAGACAAAGCAGAGCGCGACCTGCAGCCCAGGTGACCCAGGGCTGGGGGTGTCTCCAGGACACAGGACAGGACCTTCAGTGGTAAAGTCAGAAAGTTCAGGGCAAACCAAGACATCGGTAACCCTACCTCCACTCCATCTCACACTCCAGGTCCTGAGTGGGTCATCTCCAAAGCTGGCCCACCTCGGAAAATGCAT